ACAGAACTCAGAAACAGAGAATAGATTTGTGGTTGCCAGGAGTGAGGAGTGGGAATGGGAGAAATGGGTGAAGGTGGTGAAAGAGTACAAACTTACAGGTATAAAGGGAACAATTTCTTATTGTACTTTACAGCATGATGACTATAGTTAACAAGACTGTACTGTGTATTTGAAAGTTGCCAAGGCAGTAGATTTTTAAAGTTCTTACCACAAAAAAAACGTTGTACCTATGTGAGGTGAGAGCTGTGTTAACTAGCATTGCTGTGGTGATCCTTCTGCAGTACGTACGTATGTCAAATCATTGCACTGCACACATTAAACTTATACAATGTTATATGTCAATTATATCTCAGTAAAGCTGGAAATAAATAAGTATTTATTGAATGGATGAGTAGAAAGAAGGAATGCACATGAATAGTTAGTGGAGGAGGCAGGACCCGGGGCTTTCTGTTTCTGTAGTTCTTATTCTTAACATGTAGGTTAACATTTAAAAATTAAACTCAAGGCTAAGGAAAAACACACACACGTTTTGTGTGAGAGCAATAGAGAATGCGTATTTCCTATAAGGTGTTGTGGATGATGTTCACCAGAATACATGATATTCTCTATATAAAATTCAAAAGGAAATTTTCTCTCCGGTGTCAGTGCCAGGAATAGTTGTGATTTCCATTTTCCAGGTAAAGAAACTGAGGCTCATAGAGGTAAAGTAACTTGTTAAAAGCAGCTAAGTGGCAAGGCCTGCATTCTAATAACTATCTTCTTTCCTCAACACTAACCCTCAAAACAGTGCTCTGAGTTTAAGCTCTGAAAACACATTAAATTTACAAAGCCCCTTTTTCTGACCCTGTGCTTTAAGCGTGCATAAACTAACACTAACCTAATCCCACATAGAAAAAAGCCTAATCCACATGCCTCCCCAGACACTGGAACACATACACACCATCCATCTGCCCTCACTGAATCTCCCGACAACTGGAACCTCCCTGTATTGACTTATGACCTGCCCAATTCTAGAACACATTTCGGTCCACATCTGAATGTCCAAATGAAAAACTACCCACCCACATAAATACCTATCCACCCTTGATACCCCATAGCTGGGGAAACTGAAGTATGCCCTTGAGATGTCACAGTAAGGTTAAGAAGCTCTGAGATTAGCCCCAACATCTAGGCAGGATGCCTCCGGGATTCCCTTATCCCTTTGGAGTCAGCTCTGCCAACTGTCATTCTTGCCTGCTTTCTCCGCCTAGAGAGATCACAGGACACACTCTCCTGAGAGATCATCACACCACTACTCCCTCCACTAACAAGGGCCCCAGAGGCCAGCAGAGTGGAGCTCAAACTCGTGAGAAGCTGACGGGGCTTCCACAATCAAGACCGTTCCTGCCACTTGAGTCAGGGCATCTGCCGTCTGAGAGGAGGAGCTGGGGAAAGTAGCCGCATTCTGAGGACCAGACGTTAGGAAAGAAACGGAGGGGTTTGAGGCCAGGGAAGGAAAATACGTTATCCCTTTAGTATATTAGTTCCTCCCTCCTCTCCTGTCCCTCTCCTTGTTGATTAGAATTTCATGGGAGAAACGTGAGCGAGCTGAGCTTTGGCTGAGAAGTGGACTTATTGCTGATTAGCCGACGGGGTGCCGATCAGCTCCTGGGGAGACTGAGAAGAAAGGCATCTGGCTGAGGTGAGCTGCAGGAAGCCGGCCATTCCTTTTCGTACTTACTCTTCCCTCCCTGATAGTTGCAAATATTTTGTGTATTAAGAAGTCACAGGGTCCAACGAAAACTTCCACCTGGCTTTTGGTTTTCAGCCCATCCAGTCTGACCTCGAGGCCATATGTTTTGGTGGAAGCAAAACTGCATCAGTAGAAAAAAACGAAACTGTTGTATTCCCAGCCTCATCCATTCACCTTATGCTCTTAGAACTGTTCTTCCCTCCCCAGACACTGGAATTCTCAGATCCAAAACCTTCTTCCCTTTGTTAGTCCTCAGCATGGGCGATCCCCACGTCTATGACACGGAGCACCCATCCTCATTAATTAACGCAAACCTCCGCTGAGTTCTTGTCATCTGTACTCCCCAGGCAGTCCTTTCATGAATGATTCGTTTTTTGAATTGATCCATGTTTGAAAAGCCGTTTTTCAGACAGGGAATCTGACTCGCTATTCATGAAGCATCAGGCATCAGCTTGTGGGCAGGTGACGGAGGACAAACCAAACCCCCATCTTTTGTCTGAAGTCCAGGGCACTGTCCACTGCACGAGCACAACTCCACACCCCAGACACACCTCAGCCATGCACGGCCAGCTTTTATGCACCTGACTTTGGCCAGTTACTCATGGATATTCAGATTCTCAAATGCTACCACCTGTAAAACACAGAAAGGCAGGTCACCTCTCTTGCAAATACAAGGATGGACTCTGAACGTGGGAGACAAAAGCTTGTCAGTTAAGGGAGATAGAAAGGTAGCGCATGAGGAAACGGTCACTGTGAGGAAAACAGTGCCTAGCTGTGACTGTGCTATGTATCTATACACCAGTATTTATACCAAAACACGGGGAGGTGGAACATACTGGGTAAGAGCATGAGCTTCACAGTGAGCCTGCTGGGGCTTCAAAGCCTGATGGCGACTCACTTCCTTAGTGACCTGAAGCAAACCACTTCACCTCTCTAAGCCTCAGTCTCCGGTAACAGCACGGGCCTCGTAATCCCTTAGGATTTAGTGAAATGCTTGGTACTTGGCATACGCATGTAATAAATTTTCAATAAATATTGGCTATTATTATTAACTTTCATTGCTGATTCATTCAAATCAGTCAATGCATAAATAAATATTCCTTCCATAAAATCTTGCAAAATCATGAAATCAGTCAGGCCGTTTGGAATGAGGGATATGATATTTTAAGCATGTGAATTAACTGGTTTTGAGAACATCCAGGAATAGCAGATCGGGGAAGGTGACACTAGGGCTGATGAGATCAGCAGCTTCTCCTGTTTACAACACGCTTGTCTCTCTTCTATGCGCTTTAAATGCATTAGCTCACGAGATCCTCATGAGAATGTGGACATCTGGGTCCAGTACTGCACATGAGGAAACTGAGGTCTAAGATGTTAAGTAAGTTACAACTAAAATGTAAGCATTTTTTAAAAGATTTACTCTCTCAGCAACTTTCAAATATGCAATACAGTATTATTAACTATAGTCATCAAGCTGTACATTGCATTGTTTAATTGTTCATGAAATTACAGCATTTAATGGTTAAATGAGTTAATATATTACCATATCAATGTTAAATTAATTGATATATTAATATAGAATATAAAATATTTTTTAAATGCATGAAAAGTTCCGTGTAATAAGCCCATTCAAAATGGAGTATACTATAGGGAATTGAGTCAATGGAATTGTAACAGCTATATACGACGTCAGAGGGGCAATAGATTGGGGGAGGAGGGTTATCACTTTGTGAGGGGTAAAATGTATAACTATTACATTGTTTTGTACACCTGAAACTAATATAAATAAATAAATAAATATTTTTTTTAATGTGTGAAAGAATATGCTGCCCCTAAAGAAATTACTTTAAACAATTTGGTGATAAAAGTATGTGCATATAGAGATTTTTATGGTAACCAAGAATATATAAATAATGTCTCAAAATGTTGGAAAAACCCTATGTAATATGTCCATTCACAAGGTAGGGATGAATATGCTGACTCTAAAAAATTTATTTAAAACACTTCGCTGACACCAGGTCTCTCATTGCAGAGTTTTTTGTAGTAGCAAGAGACAGAGGCCACTTTGATGTCCATCCAGGTAACTGGATAGGACTGAAAAAAAAAACCCATATATTGGGTTGTCGGGAAATTCATGATGTATTTTTCTATGTTTTTCAATGCAAAAATGTGTCATGACTTCCTGATGACCCAATATTTTAAAAATTAACATGTTTCAGGGGCCAGCTGAGTGGCTCAATTGGTTAAGAGCTTGCTCAAGAGTTTGAGCTCTGAGCAACAGCGGTTCGAGTCCAGCCCGAGCTGAGCAGCCGCTGAGCTGCCAACAGGTAGCAGGATNCTTGCTCAAGAGTTTGAGCTCTGAGCAACAGCGGTTCGAGTCCAGCCCGAGCTGAGCAGCCGCTGAGCTGCCAACAGGTAGCAGGATAGCTCAGCTAAAAAAATAAAAAATAAAAAATTAACATGTTCCTCTTAGATATTTTTAGATACATATATAAGCAATGGATTTTAAAAACATTAATTGAATATTCAACCATTGATGACTATCCTGTGCAAATGTGATTTTGGACAAAGGGGTTAAAGAAAGGAAAAACAATTTACAAAAGAGGGGAGACTTTGCAAAGGCTGATGATGATAGAATGCCATGAGCCAAGGAAGATGACCCTTTCATTTTGTATCCAGAGGAGAGAAAAAGAAAAACACTTTGTTGAACTGGGTTCAACATTCCTCTTAGATTTACCCTGTTGGTCATTTTGGCAAATCCTATTTTTTTCCAAGACAATGCTAAGATGAACTTGAGAATGACACAACTGAATTTGCTTTGATAGGGAATGAATATCCTGTGAACTTTCTATCTAAAATACCTCCATTCCCACTCCCCATGCATCTCCATTCTTTTATATACTGATTTATTTTGTTCACAAGTTTTATCCCTACCTGATATTATATCACATATTTTGCTTATTGATGATCTGTCTCCCCAACTAGGACATAAACCACACAAAGGCAAGAATGTCTGTTTTTATTGCTATGTCCCCAACAGGGAAACACTGCTTTTCAAAGAATAGGAACTAATGAACTTGAATCAGAGAGGTCCATCTCTGATGGTTTGTAGAGGAAAACTCTTATCTGTCCCTCTAGCTTTCAATATAAAGCCCTTGAGATGACCATGGATTTGGGAAAGGAGAACCTCAACAAGGACTATGAGGTTGACAAGCTGTCCCTGCATAGCAGCTAATTGTGACCAAACAGAGGAAAAACAGACTTGCTGGGTTCTCACGATTTAGGTTATGGAATCACAGCATGTTAAATAACAACATTTCTTGTATATAACTAGACCCAAGTCAATGGAAAAAGCCAACCAAACCAGCAGTGTCTCTGAGTTCATCCTCCTGGGACTGTCCTGCCGACCTGAAGACCAGAAGCCTCTCTTTATCCTCTTCCTCACCATATACGTGGTCACCATAACAGGGAACCTCCTCATCATCCTGGTCATCTGCTCTGACCCCCAACTCCAGACCCCCATGTATTTCTTCTTGAGGTCCCTTTCTTTCATTGACATTTGCTTCACAACAACCATCATCCCCAGGATGCTAGCTAACTTCCTGTCAGAGAAGACCATCTCCTATGCTGGGTGTCTGACACAGATGTATTTTCTTTATGCTTTGGGCAACACTGACAGCTTCCTTCTAGCAGTCATGGCCTTTGACCGCTATGTGGCCATCTGTGACCCCTTCCACTATGTCAACATCATGAGCCATCGTCGCTGTGTCCTACTGGTGTCCTTCTCCTGCTCGCTTACTCACCTCCACTCTCTCCTACACACACTTCTGCTGAATCAGCTCACCTTCTGTGACTCCAATGTTATCCATCACTTCCTCTGTGACATTAGCCCTCTGATGAAATTGTCCTGCTCCTCCACATTTGTCAATGAAATTGTGTTAATGATAGAAGGACCTATTGTTTTGGTGACCCCCTTTCTATTCATTACTTTCTCTTACATTCGAATCTTCATCACAGTTCTCAAAATCCCCTCAGCAGCTGGGAAATACAAAGCCTTCTCCACCTGTGGTTCTCACCTCACCGTGGTAACACTCTTTTATGGAAGCATCTTCTATGTCTATTTACAGCCCCTGTCCACCTATTCCATCAGGGACTACATAGCAACAATTGTCTACACAGTTTTGACCGCCATGCTAAATCCTTTTATCTATGGCCTGAGAAACAAAGACCTGAAACAGGGCCTGAGGAAGATGATGGGCAAGAGGAAATCCCAGGCAGCACCCTCTTGACAATGGAATCTGCTCCTCTTGAATCTAGTCTCTACTGGCTCTTGGTGAAGAGTCAGACTGCTGGAGGTTAGCATTTTTAACCCATGTGAGACAAGGCTATTGTGGGCACGTACCCCCATTGATGACATTTCCACCAACTGGCCCAGCCTCTGCTCAATCATGATACTCTTCCTCCACTTTCCTACGAAGATTCATCACTGTCTCATATTCCAAATATACTGCTTTAATTCTTCTCCCCAAAATATTTCCTCAACAAACGTCTCTCTTTTTGTTGTATTAAGACATCCTCCAAAACCCTTCACATTTCAGTATATTGCTGAAAACAGTTACTTAATTTATAGCCGTTAAATGCCTTAAATACTTGAAGAGGGAAAGAATGAAGAGGCAGAGGGAAGAAGAGGAGGAGGAGAATGACATTTTAGCTAATTTTATCATTTTGGGGAGTTTTATAATTCTTTATTTTCCTCTTTCTAAAATTTTTACTCTTGACTGGAGGATTTAGGGAGCAGGGATAGAGAAATCTCACCCATAGTCTGCACTCTCACACCATTCGGCTTTTGAGAGCTCAGCAGCTCTAGTCCCACACCTCTCCCTTCAAAGCTCCCACAAAACTCACTGTAGAAGTCTGCCTGTCTATAGTAAGAATCAGTACTTGTTATGCTAAAATGAGCACTAAAAACCTGTGTTTCCCTTTCTTAAGGCCTAACTGTATCATTCCTCAGCTACCATTTAGGTCTGGCGGACATTTTGAAATAATTACATGGCGTTAATGCTGTGAACATTGTCTGATGTCAGCAGCTTTCAAACTAAATCAAACCAAACAACTACAAGGTGGTTTTCATAGGCATTTCTTGTTCATCATTTTAAAATCTGATTTTTAAACATAGGCTTTAGGGAAGATAATTATTTTTAAATCTTCTATTTGGAAAAATTTCAAGTTTACAGAAAAGTTACAAGAATGAAAATGGTACATAGAATGCCCATATACCCTTTACCAAAATTTAGTCATTAACATTTTATCCCATGTTGCACTTTCTCTTTGAATCCCCACGCACCCACCACACATAACACATTTTTATATGAACCATTTGAGAGTGAGTTACATATATCCATAGCCCTTTAAGCCTATATACTTCAATGTGCATTCCTAAGACTGAGGGTATTCTCTCACATGACTAAAGTACAGGTAGCAACTTTTTTTTTTGTATGAACTTTTTTGTAAAGTTTACATTTTTATTTTTCAATTACCATTGACATACAATGTTCTAGTCAGATATTAACTTTAATAAATTTAAAAAATTCTTACTCTTATTTTTCTATTTTTTATTTTATTGCTCTGGCTTTATTTGTTTTAAATTTTCTCTAATTTTTTTCCCATACAATTAAAAAAATGTGAATGGCCAGGAAGAACAAGAATCAAGAGTGGTAACATGAAAATTATCCATTTCACTGTGGGGAGGTTGGAACCTTTCTTCATTTCAACTATCCCTAAAGCTATATGTCAAAAATATTGGGTTGTCAAAAAAGTCATGACGTATTTAGTCTATGTTTTTCAAAGGTCATTTATTTATATAAAGAACAAAGATCAATCAATGATATATTGCCCGTTTTGTTCAATAACCTTTTACCATCTTTCAGTGAGCTTCATAATTCCTCATTCATAGAAGAATCTGTCTTTATTTGCGAAAAACTGAACAAGGTGCTGATTTACAGCCTCATCTGAATTGAACATTATATCACGCAAGGAGTTTTGAAGAGAGCGAAACAAGTGGAAGTCTGACGGTGCAGGGTCAGGCGAGTAGGGTGGGTGTGGCAACTATTCAAGCTCCAATAATTTTTGACAGGTGATCAAACTTGTGTGTGGTCTCACGTTGTCACGATGGAACACAACTCCTTTACAATTAACGAGCTCTGGGCATTTCTGAGTGATGGATTTGTTCAAACTGTCCAATTGCTGACAGTACACATTCAAATTGATTGTTTGGTTCCTTGGTAGGAGCTCGAAAAATACACCTTTAAAATCCCACCACATTGAGAGCATAACCTTCCTCTGACAAATGTCTGCTTTCGATGTCGTTTGAGGCGAATCATCACGTTGGGACCAAGAACGCTTGTGCACCACATTGTTGTAAACAATCTACTTCTCATCACCAGTTATCAGTCGCCTCAAGAAAGGATCGTTTTCCTCACGTTTAATGAGCATATTGCAGATGTTTATACACGCAGTCTATGAACTTCTTTGAGTTCATGTGGAACCCAAATATTGAGCTTGCTTATGTATCCCAGCTTCTTCAGGTGGTCGTGAATGCTTGCATGATGGATGTTCAATGTTTCTGCAACCTCTCATGTCGTGTAATGTGGGTTTGACTCAATCAATGCCTTTATTTTATTGTCATCAACCTCAGTGGGCCTCCCTGACAGAGGAGTGACGTTGAGATCAAAATCACCAGCATGGAATTTTGTGAACCATCGTTGGCACTGACGTTCTTGTAGAGCATTGTCACCGTAAACTTTATGCAAGTTTTCACAAGCTTGACACGCATTCTTCCCTTTATGGAAGTAAAACAGTAAAACATGGCAAAAATGCACAGTTTGGTCTTCCATCTTCAACTTGTTATAAAATCTCCAAAACTCAACAAAATTGCTCAATTATTTTTTAGAATGAAGCTAGAACTATCAGCTGTCAAATGACATAGCAATAACATAGATGCAAATGACTCTACTACTTCCAAAAATTAACTAGTGGCATCTGTCACAAACATGCGTCATGACTTTTCCGACAACCCAATACATGATTTAATACTTTATTTAAGCAACTCCCACCCTTAGAAATCTAACTTATAGAAATATTACCAGAAATGTACATTGAATATATATATATATATATATGTAAAATCCCAGTTTATAACAAGTAAAAATTGGCAAGAACCTAAAATCCTATCAATAGAGAATAGAGAAATTAATTATGATTAATTATGTAGGATGTAACAATATGCAGCAGATTCAAAGAATCAAATGGATCTCTATTACTCCCTTGAAAAGCTATTAAGTAGAAAAGTCAAGATGGGGAACAAAGTATAAAAGTATGGATCTTGAGATTATTATGCTAAGTGAAATAAGTCAGACAGAAAAGCTGAGAACCATATGATTTCACTCATATGTGGGTAAATTTGAAAGCAACAATTGAACAAAACAAACAAACAAGCAAAATCTCAGACACAGACAACAGGTTAGTTGTTACCAGAAGGTAAGTGGAGAGGGGGGTGGTAGAAGATGGGAAAGGGGGTCAAATATATGGTGATGGAAGGAGATTTGATTTTGGGTGGTGAACACACAATTCAATATATAGGTGATGTATTAAAGAATTGTACACTGGAAACCTATGTAGTTTTATTAAGCAATGTCACCCCAATAAATTTAGTTTTAAAAAAATATGAATTCATTATGTTTAAAATATATGCAGTAAAACCTTGGATTGCGAGTAACTTGGTTTGCGAGTGTTCTTCAAGACGAGCAAACATTTCTAATACATTTTAAATTGATAAATAAGCGATGTCTTGCAATACGAGAGGTTTGTTTCCAGAACAAATTATGCCCACAAACCAAGGTATTACTGTATATGAATATGTAGGTGTATAGTTACTGGAGTAAGAATTGAAGTGCAGGGGGGACAGAGAGGGAGAGAATTTCCACTTCTTTATACACATTCATAATGCCTGAATTGGTTTAAATAAATATTTATACCTCATGGAATTTAAAACTCTTAATAAATCAGATGACCAATGCAATGGGGAAAGACTTTCTTTGTAAGGTACCAGCTGAAGAGAAACTTTGCAGGTGATTGCATATCTGAAAAACATTTTTTGGCTCTTTCCCTTGAATGATAATTGGATAGGATATAGCATTTAGTTACTAAAACTGTTGGAACTTGAGAGACATATCTGCACTGTCTTCTGCATCAAGTGTTCTCAGTGAGAAACACGAGGTCGTTCTAATTTGTGTTCCTTTGTGCTCTCCTCCCCTAACCATAGTCTGTAGATATCCAACACCAAAAAATGGCCGTGCTGCCACTGCACAGGCCTTGGGAGAGCAGACCCTAATGCTACCCACTTTACTCCAAGCCTGGGCACAAGAGCCTGATCATTGTCCTTGGAAATGGACATCCAATTCTACAATTTAAATGGAAATGAAAATGACCTAGAACAGCCAAGACGATCTTGAAGAGAAAAAAAAAATCACAAGGTTGGAGGACAAACATGACCAAATTTCAAGACTTACTGCAAAGCTAAAGTAATTAAGGCAGCATAGCATTTGTATAAGAATACCTAAGTAGAGCAATGTAACAGAATAGAGAACCCAGAAATAAATCCTTATTTACATAATCACTTGATTATTTTTGGCCAAAGGGCCAATGCAGTTTAATGGGGAAAGGAGGACCCATTTAATACATTCTGCTGGAGCAACTGGATATGCACATAGAAAACAATTAAACCTTGACCCCTTACCTTACACCATACACAAAAATTAATTCAAAGCGGCTCATAGACCTAATTGAGGGCTAAAACTGTAAGATTTCTTGAAGAAAACAGAAATGTATAAATATGTATTCGTAACCTTGAGATGAAGATTTTTTGGTCAGGAAACAAAGGGCTAACCACAAAAGAAAAATTATTAAATTGAGTTCATCAAAATTTAAAACTTCTGCTCATCAAAAGATCCCTCAAGAAAGTCAAAAGGGAAAAATAGTCACAATACATATATCTGATAAATGACATATTCATAATACATAAAGAGCTCATATAAATCAATACGCAAAGCATAAAACTCAATTTTTTAAAGTGGGCAAAAAACTTGAACAGGTATTTTACAAAAGAAGATATTCACATGGCCAATACCACATGTGAAAAAACACTCAACATCATTACTTATCAGGGAAATGTAAATTAAAGCCATAACACGATACCACTGAACACCCAATAGAATGGCTACAATTAAAAAAACAATACAAAATTTTG